TAAAAAAAAATGGAAAAAAGTGTTTGTAGTATATAAACCAATCATAATCATAAAATTGTCATTAGGAAAATATATAGAATACAACAATATTATAGAATACAAATTATTGGTTATTGTCCAGCAGTATGTTTTATTTCTTAGCCAATTAAAAGTAAGAGATAAGAAAAGTGGTTTTTTTTTGTCAAATAGACATAAATAACTAATAATAATAATAATAATTACTTTAGCTATATGCCGTGTTATCTTCATTTTAGGGATCAAATAGGTTTTGTGGCTCCACATGAGTTTTATTCGGTGGCAAAAAGGCCAAAATGGCTCTTTTGATGTTGAAGGTTGCAGACCACTGGTTTAGGGAAATATAATTCTTTCCAAATGGCTCCTGAAACCCAATAAAGTACACCCTGGTGTGCACATGCCACTGGGTTGAGAATCACAGTTCTACTATTCATGTTGGCCTTACCTGTGTGTACACGAAGGTGCACTTTAAGGTGATGGGAAGTGATGAAACGTGATGACAATAAACTATTGTGACAATATGTTTTATGTGTGTTTTCCAAGTCTTCTTCAGGTAATAAATAAAGTATATGAATGATGCAGTGCTAATTGACATAGCATTTCTTACAGTACAGAAGCTATAAAATATATTGTCTGTTTTATTCTGTGATAAAAAAAATGGAAAAAAGTGTTTGTAGTATATAAACCAATCATAATCATAAAATTGTCATTAGGAAAATATATAGAATACAACAATATTATAGAATACAAATTATTGGTTATTGTCCAGCAGTGTGTTTTATTTCTTAGCCAATTAAAAGTAAGAGATAAGAAAAGTTTTTTTTTTTGTAAATTAGACATAGTTTTATTCGGTGGCAAAAAGGCCAAAATGGCTCTTTTGATGTTGAAGGTTGCAGACCACTGGTTTAGGGAAATATAATTCTTTCCAAATGGCTCCTGAAACCCAATAAAGTACACCCTGGTGTGCACATGCCACTGGGTTGAGAATCACAGTTCTACTATTCATGTTGGCCTTACCTGTGTGTACACGAAGGTGCACTTTAAGGTGATGGGAAGACCGGAAGGCTTTACCACAGTAGGGGCAATCCTTTATCCCTGTTCCCCGAACACGCTCCCTTGGAGATGAAGTGGAAGAGGATGATCCCCTCAGACCATTTTGACCTTGAGATGAGATAACATATAATGAATAAAAACAATTGCTTTGAAATATAACCTGAGTCTACACTGTTTCTAACAACAGGCCTGCCTTCCTGAAACACAGGGAGGAAATGTTCCAAAACTAACAACAGTGAAATACTACAAAAAAACACCCCTCAAATTCAATCAGCGTCCTGCAGTGCAATAGCCTATGAAGGATTTTAACAGATAATAAATATTGTACCAATAAAGTCAGCTGTTTTTGATCATGCTGGTTGATCCTTACCAGAAAGATGTGATATGACAGAATGGAAGCTCCCAGCTGTCCCGACTTCTGATGGTAGTTGCTTTCCCTCCTGCCTTCCTTCATTGTCACTAGTTCTTTGTCCTCCTCCTACTCCACCTGTTGCCTGAGCTCCACTCACTCTGTTTATAATGTCCTCTTCCCTGGACATGCCCCCTCGGGGACTTTGACCTTTCTGTGGTTTCTGGACATGGACACGGGCGTGAGCAACCACCTGCTGAAGGCTTCTGAACAGCTTGCCGCAATCTGGACACTCCCATGGTGGACTAGATCCCTCCAGTTCCTCTCTAGAACCCAACCCACCAAGGTAGGTCCTCAACTCCTTGGCTTCCCCAGCAACTGTGCCTCGTGAGGAAGGAAGCTGATGGTGCGAATGAGATCGCTGCTGCTGTTGCTGTTGGTTGTGCTGTGCTGCCATCAGACTGCGAGCAACCAGCTGCCACATGGCTGCCTGGTCCGCTCCGTCTGCTGCTTCACCTCCCCGTCCTCCACCATTACCCATTTCTGCAACCTGTGCCACTGCCTGAAGGCGCTCCATGCAACTTCCATTGCTGGCATCTTTGGGTAAGCCCAGATAACCCAATATAGAGGATTTGCTTGAGCCTGCACTGGCATCTGACCTCTCTGTGCGACTTCCTGAACCACCGCCACCAGTCATAGTGCGAGCCAGGAGCAAGTTGGAATACAGGGCCCCCAGCACTTGTGTGCTTGCAGGACCTTTGGATTGCTCATTTCCAGCCGGCCCCAGATTTCCCAATCCAGCTTTGAGGCCCAGCTTGTTGAGATGCACCTTCATATGATTCTTTAGGAACCAGGGTTCCTTGAAGCCACGGCCACACACCTGGCACTTGTGATCCAATGAGTCCTTGTGCTTCCGCATGTGCCCCTTCAAAAACCAGGACTGAGTAAAACGCTGCCCGCACGTCTCGCATCGGAAAGCTGGAACAACTGGCATTTGTGAGGGAGGAGTCTCTGTTGGTGCTGTTATAGGGTGAGGAGGGAAAACCGTTTCAGTGACAGGATCCTCAGGTGGGTGGCTCTCCTGCAGATGGGCAGCCAGGCTTTCCTCCTGACTGGCTGAGAAGGGACACATTGTACATTTGTAGGGGTTGTGGAGGATCCGCACATGACGTGCCAGCTCTGAAGCTGTACGGAACTTACCCTTACAGGCATGACACCGGAAGGCAGAAGCAGCTGTGGAGGGGGTGTTGTCTTCCAAGTGGGCATGGCCAAGTGGAGAGAAGGAGGTTGAGATTGGTGCTTCCTCTGTTAGAGGTGGAGTCAGGGCTGTGGTTCCTTCAAAGAGGAACTGTGGGCTGCTAGCAGTTTGAAGAGGTTCCTCTGGAACCATGTCCTCATCCATATTCTTTTGTAATGACCCAGATAATGGACTCAGTTTCAGACCAGGCTCTCTGTTGTTGAGATTCTGGATTACACTGTTGCCCACATGGTTCTGCTGCAGTTTGGCATGTGTGGTTCGGTAGGGAGCTGAAGCTCGACGCTCCCTGTCTAAACTGTGAGCTCGAGCATGCAGGGACAAAATACTCTGGAAGCGGAACCTCTTTCCACACACATGGCACGGGAACCTTAGGCCAGGCCCAGAGTTTGTCCCTCCGGGGACAGCCATGCCCTCATTGTTGAAAAGTTGAAGATCCAACTCATCATCACAGGTGGTACTTTGACCAGAGGAGATGGCCTGCTCCAGAGCTCCAAAACCAGGAAAAGGTGTTAATGGTGTGGCTGGGGGGCTGCTCTCCGATGAGGGACTGCCGAGCTCAAGTTCACCAGGAAACAGCGCCACCGCTGGGGTGGGTGATGGGGGAGTTGACAGCTCCTCATCCTCCTCCTCCTCATCTTGGAGGCTGGCCTCTGGAAGGGGGCAAGGAGAGACCGGGGCATAGAGTTCAGTTTGAGGGCTAGAAGGGGTAGATTGAGGACTCTGGGATAGGAATTGGGGACTGTGGTCCAGGGACGGCATGGAGGGAGGAGACAATGGGGGCTCACAGGAAAGAGCCAGCATACTCTCTGGTGGAGAATCCATACTCTGAGCGAGGAAAGAATTGATAATTGTGATTAGATCAAGATTAGATAGGCAGACAGACAGACAGACAGATAGATCACTCACTGTTGATGTGTCTATGCCATGCTTCACTTCCTTGACTTAAAGAGGGTGTGTTCTGATGGTGGCAATCTGCCTGACCAACTCCAACATTCCCCTGTCAAGTACAACACAGAATAAAAAAATGAGTGTACACACATTTGTTCCTGTGTACGGGTCTAAAGGCAGAGCAGGACATAGACTGTCCCAAACAGGATGGGCGCGAGATGTTTGGACTTCCCCACACACCCTTCCTGCACATACACTTACAGTAGCTGCTTAAATCAGAACAAAAATACATACATACACACCTTAAAGTCCAGACACATAGATATAACTGATCTAACCCCCCACCAATCTCTCATTACCTAAGCTACTCATATAAGCACACACACCCTTAACACGCAGTGCACTGATAGAAGTGAACAATTACATAAAGTCACACATGCATAGACTGCATAAGTCTGCAGCGGACAGGCCCAGACACAAAAAAGAAAAAAAAAACACCTGCTTCTTTCATAAATAAGAGAAAATGAATTTCATTGATGATTACAGAAAGACAATCTGCTAAACATCTGTGAGGGCGTCTGTATGCCTGGATATGTGTCACTATGATTGTGTTTGCGTGGGTGGGTTTTTTTTATTTTGTATTTACCTCTACGAACAGACTGAACTGTATGTCTGTGTCTGAGTTGGGATTTATGTACACAATCAAGTGTTTGCTTGTGCATTAGTGTGTGTTTTTGACTGTGTGTGAAAGTATGTGTATCTGTGACATAAGACTTGGACGAAACGGTGGCTAACAGAGCCAGTTGACATTTTAGCTCAGACGTGACTCACAACGATATCACACTATATCAATCATACTGCCCCCTCCATTTTTCTTTCTTTCTTTCTTTCTTTCCTAATCCCACCATTACTGTCCTCCTTTTTCCTTCTGTCTTTTCACGTCCATAAATTGTGAATCCACCCCCTGCACTTTTTCTCTTTTCACCCTCATTCCCTCCTCCCTCTGTTCTTGACTGATTTTCTTTCATTCTATCTTTCCCTCTCTCACTCTCTGTCTCTCTGCAGCGGTGCCAGTTGGCACAGTGCCAGGGAATGCTGATATCAGCTGGTAGATTGGGGCCTGCCAACATGGCGAAAAGAAAAGAAAAGAGAGAAGAGAGACAGACAGGCGAGAAAGAGAGAATGAGAGGGGGGGGTGTTAGTGAAGAAAAAACATAAATGAAGAACACAATGAGCATATTTGATGAGTAAATCTGTCGAGAAAGGGGACAGAGTGTTCTGCTCTGCAATGGAGGATCTTGCGATCTGTTTGGTCTGTTGGCATTATTATCATATGAATATCGTCATGGCAATGCACTGTTCCGCCTTGACAGACACGTTCGTGTCTGACCAACCCTGTCATGCCAATAAAGCTTCTCCAAATTTGGATAGATGGAGAGAGTGATAAGGTGCTAGACAGAGGGGGGAGGGGAGAGATGAACGCAGGAGAGCGACAAAGCAGCATGCGCAAATAATGCATGCACACACACACACACACACACACACACACACTCAATATGGCACCTAGTCACTAGATGATTCATGCATGCTAAACACCTTTGTCTGAATGGCCACATGCTACACTCCCAGTACAAGCACACACAAATACACGCTCGCATATTTTGTGCCTTCTTGGGGCACATGCATCGGCTATTTAACTAACGGCTTTGTATGTAATGGAATGAATATCGTATAAACAAAAAAATGAGAAAAGAGAAATAGGCCGCTGTTGTTTGAAAGAACTGCATGTAATGTAGCTGCTATTAAAATTATTTGATGTATGTCGTGCTTTTATTTTTGGACTTTTGCCAATTAGAAATGTCAAAAAAAAAAAAACCTGTTTGCAACATATGTAGGATTTTGATTGAGGTCAACTGATTATTCCATTATCCGAGTATCACTAATTGGTTTTACTGAATGTTTACGACAGAAGTACCGGTACTTTAAATGGGGTCGCATTTCACCGGAACACATTTTACAGTACGTAGTACACACAACTTAACTCGCTCTAAAAAAACCACTCATGAAACCTCTATATGACTGAACAAGCACTTGAGTCATCTTTGATAAAACAGATATTTTCCTCACTGCGGTTCGTATTCTGTAGCCTCGAGCACCTGAAATAACGTCTCCTGCCTTCGGTGTGAGGACACACTGGGCCTCCAACAGTGAAGCCATGTAACATATCTAAAGGCTAAGAAGAGATCATTCATACGTACTGAAAGACTCGTGGCCTTGAAAATATAACATGAATGGTATTATCATTGTTCTTTGATATGTGGGGAGAGCGAGAGAAAGAGAGCGATATCTTTAAATTGTGAGAGAGACTAAGAGAGAAAAACGATTGGTGTGATGCATGTGAGGCTTGAACTGCACTTTACCTTTCTTGTATCTCTGAGTGGGATTTCTACGGTCAGTGTGTGTATGATTCCGGATTGTTGCAGTCATACAACAAATCCCTACAGACAAAATTCATTTCCTGTTTCTAACCTTGGCCTTAACTTTATCTCTCTCAGCACCCCGGCTCCCACACACAGCCTCCCTTCAACTTCCTCTTTTTGGGTTGAAATTCCAAGTCATCCACAACCTTCACCTGTTCTCCTCGATTTATATTTCTCCGGGAGACTTGCGGACAGTTTGAAGGTTCAGTTTAAAGATGCTGAAGAGAGGACAAGCAAGTTCAAAACATCACAATCTCGCCCATTATCTCCTTAAGAGAGCATGAAACAAGGATATCAGCCTTGAAATGATTCTACACTAAGGTGCTTTAGAAGAACTAAACCTGCTGTCAAAACTGAAGGCTTCACCAAAACGCTGCAGTGGTCAAGTTCAAGCTTACTGTACAAAGAGCTCTTGCTAACGAACTTGCGTTAAGGGATGGTTCACACAAGATAACGATGCTGTCATCATTTACTCACTCTCATGTTGTTCCTAACCTGCTGAACACAGAATATATTTTGAAGAGTGTTGATAACCAAACAGCTGATTTTCCGATTGATTCCATTCAAAACATAGAAAGAAAGAAAAAAATAACTACTATGAAAGTCATTAAGGGCCATCAACTGTTTGGTTCTTCAAAACATTCTTCAAAATCGTCTATGTTCCACAGTAGACAGAAACTCATACAGTTTTGGAACAACTTGAAGGAGAGTGACACATTTTTGGGTGGACTATAGATTTTTTTATTATATCTGGTATGAATAGCCATCTCAGATGATCCAATAATGTTAAATGCAGGTGTAAATAGGATCCAAAATGTGTTTGATCTGATCACTACAACCACATTGAACACACTACATCTGTGGCGTAAACATTAATGCACCTGGATGATAGTGATTAAAACATTTGGAAAACCCAGACGTATATGCATTAGACTTCACAGAACAACAAGGACATGTCTGGCATCATCTATAGGCAGTGACATATAATTGTAATCTTTTTTTTTTTAGATCAAAATTAAAAAGTAGCCTATATTTGGGAGCAGGAGTATGCCATTTTTCCCCCTTCATTTTATCAACTTGCAGTAAGAGCCTGACATATATATGAGACGTAATCGCGTAATAATGATTTGAGCTGTCAAAACTGATGCCGGATCACCTGAGATAGATAATAACAGGTGTAAACCGGGTCCGAGTCAGTACGGACATCAAGAGAGTATGGGCTGTGATTCAGGTGAAATCAAGCCTTGAATGATCTAAAGAAGTGATCATTTTCAATCAGAATTATTTTTACAACGAACAGCCCACCTCTGACCTCTGAAACGAGCTGTAAGGTGTTCGCTGTGCGTAACAAGTGCACAAAGGCAGTGTGCTGTGCTAGAAAGTCTAGCTTCAGGCATCTGAGCACAGAGAGGAACTCAAACCGACAAAGCTGATCTATATCTGCATGAACGGGATGAGCCCTGCCGAATTTGAACTTGAATGTAGTATGTAAAAATGTTTCGTCACATTATATAAAGGTATGTTTTATGAGATAGCCTGTAAATTAACAGGCGTTATTATCTAATGAGACTAAATAAACATAATTACATTCTGTTAAATCATTCAAAAGCAGTTTTTAGTGGTCAAATAAGGTAAAATGACATGCAAATGGCATAATTTAACTTTTTATAATGATGGATAACATGCAGACGTCCCACTTTATATTAGGTGGCCTTTACTACTATGCACTTACATTTAAATTAATCATTTGATACAATGCATTTATTGTGTACATACATGTTTTACACTGTACTTTATTTAAAAAAAATACATGCATGTAATTACATCTGTAATTAATTTATGTAATTACATATTTATAATTGCACTGTTGACCCACACTGTAAAAAAAAATCCGTAAAATTTACGGTAAAAAAACGGCAGCTGTGGTTACCAGAATTTTACCGTAAAAAATACGGTAGCAACGTTTTAGGTTTTAACTTAAATTTACAGTTAAATACCGTAATTTCATTAACTGATATAATGTTAATATACCAACCTATTGAAGTACTGAAATCTGTTTAGTACCTTTGTAATACACTGATAACCACCAAAACTGTTACATTTTTTACAGTGCATCCCTTACACCTTAACCCAACCTTAAACCTACCCAAACCACCAAACCTGTCCCTGACCTTACCCGTATCCCACCTCAATAGCAGCAGAAGTGTTTTGGGTAACACTTTATTTTAAGGTGTCCTTGTTACACATGTTACATGTACTTGCTATTATAATAACAATTAATCATGCATAATTGCATGCAAGTAACCGTAATCCTAACCCTAAACATTTAGTACAAGTACATGTAGTTACTTAATATTACTCATACACTGTAATAATGATGTCTTAAAGTGTAACTGTGTTTTGCAATACAGGTACAGGTACACTGTACTTATTTTTTGATGTAAGTACATAAGGCCACCTAATTTAAAGTGGGACCCATGCAGGCATGTTCGTCAGTTACTAAACACACAGATACCTTGAACTGACAACCTGTTGTTCCTTACATACAACAAGAAGATTAAAATTGTATTTATCCTTATTTGCAAGCATGAACAGGAATAAATCCCAGCTTCCTGTATGCTATTGCTAATTATGTCGCCATGCCAATCTGGAAATCTGTGGCTGAATTAGCCAGGTGCCAGGTCAAATTCTGAAGCCCCTGCACCATCTCATCCAGATGTGCTGTCCGTGCAGGTTATCAAGATGAGCAGGAGCAGATCTGCTTGTAAAAGTTGCTTACAGGGCTTCCACCTCATCTCTGCGCTGCTCTGCCCTCTTTATCCGTCAAACTGTCGCGTCAGTTCAGGGGGCTGGTCTCATTCCGTCACCCGTCTAATAGCACCCAAATCTGTGCCAGCGCTAAATAATGGAAAGCAATGGCGCCTTATAGAATTTCCATATATATGTGTGTGTGTAAAGTTTCTTGGCGGGATGCATTTGCAGGACATCAGATGAGCGTCTGTGGAGAGGAATTTCCTCGCGTGATAAAACGCGCAACCATTTTCAGTCGCCTTCTCTCTCGCGGCCATCTCAATTAAAAAGCCACATTAATGAAATAAATAAATGCTCACAAACAAACGCGCGCACGACGCGTCCTCCCGCGAACGCCGACATTAAGCCCGTGCATAAAATCGCGATTTACAGACGCAACGGCATCGTTTTTACCCCAAACAGAGGCAGACATGTAACATTAGGACGGGATGTTGTGCGCTCCATTTTCTTTCTGATTTTCTTTCAACAAAAGATAAAGGGAGGGGAAACGGACAAGCGATCAGGGTGCAGCTGTAAAGTGCCATCGTGGGGTTTCATCTCGAAATCCGCTGCTATCGTGGCAAATCACGAAACTTTACCTGTTTTTAGGGTCTTTTGTAAAACTAGCAGCTGCAGGTTTAAATAGCGAGTGCGAGCGCGCATCTGTGAGGTGACGTTAGGACATGCAGAGCGCGTGCAAATTTACCAGCTTTTGCATTAACATGCACCGAAAGCTTTCCTATGTTCTTCGAAGTTATTAATATGCTGCTGTTTTTTTCCCCCAGAGCGTCCGATCCAGCCGGATCTGTCTGCGTCCCACACAAACTAAGTTCAAACATGCGGGTTTTGACTGCAACAGAACTAAGTAATGCTTCTCATAAAGTATAAAACTTTGCAATACTGCAGCAGCGGAGAAACGAACGGTTGCTTCACGCACTAGAAAAAAAGTTCAAACATCTACAATCAGCTTGTACCTCTGAGTTCAGTGCACTTTTTTTCCACACTTGAGGCTCTGGTAATATTCAAGGGCCTTAAAAAACGAAAGTTGCATTTTCATGCGCGAGCCTCGCATCTCTTTCAGGACATACACGCGCGCGCGCTCTCTCTCTCTCACACACACACACACCGGCAACATACACGGCACGAGACAAAAGTGAGGAAGTGTGTATGCGCGAGAACACGTATGAAACACCAGACGCCAATCAATATCTCCTGATGCATGTATGTGCAAAGAAACGCGAGGTGTAAACACGACGGCTATTCCGTATCAATGGCTTTTCGTTCCCCGGATCAGCCACCCCCCAAAAAAAGTCGTCGTCGGATATTTGTTGTTTATGAAGGCGACAACAATCGCTCTCTATGCGACTCAAACTGTACACTCGCGCACACCGTCACACTCGCGAGCGATGTGCATCAGTAAAAATCGCTCAAAAAGCGCAGATTAGGTCAGTTATTTGAAAGGAATCGGATATTTTGTGCTGAAAGTAAGGCTGAATGTACTTACGGGAGAGGCGGCGAGGAGATTAATGACAACACACGTCATGATTACGTTTCACTTGAATTAAATACATTACGAGTTAGGGGAAAAAATGGAAATCGGGGGGTAGTTGTATACAAGCATACGCCGATGCCCCCTCCCTTCTGCCCTCTCTATCTTCTCCTCCTCCTCCTCTCTTTCCTCACACGTCTCTCTCTCTCTCTCTCTTTTCTCAAAAATCCATTTATTGTGCAGCCGTGAGTGAGTGAGTGAATGAGAGAGAGAGAGGCGGAGGCTGTAGGTTGCAAATGTAATTATAATCTCGCAGAGGCACCATTTTAAAACGATCTATAGCTTCGCGGGATGGACTTTTGACACAAATCACGCAGCATACAAGTTTCTCGCGTCTGCTCGCGGCGCTCAGATTTACACCCGGACGTCTTTTAAAGATTAGCCTGTAGGAGCGTGTGTTTTCTACTTTGCCGTCCGTCAGAAAGGGCTTCTGTAGTTTAGTTGTGACTGTGAAGAAACTCGCGCTCCACGTGGAAGCGGCGCAGGTGCGCGCGAGTAAAACAGCACGACCACAGGCCACATGAAGTGTAGAGCGTGCTATGTACCCTCTTTTAAACAAACAACAATGGCCTGTAACAGAAAATGCATGCATACATACATAGGCATAAATAAATAAATAGCCTAGGCCTAAATAAATAAATGCATTCATTTACTACTAATGCATTTTCTGTATAATAAGAAACAATAGTAACGTCAATAATAATAATAATTTATCTCTATATATAGTCTATATAGATGCTATAGATATCGATATACATGTCACTCACCCTCTTTTGATGTGAGATCCATGAATAAACAAATAAATAACCATCTACAGAGAAAACCACCTATAATAGAAAACTTTTGTAAATCAGATTCAGCACCTTATTTTACTTTGGGAAAAAAAACAACTATAAATAATAAATAAATAGGTTGAACTACTAATGGATTTGGAAGATTTTGCTGTAAAACAATACATAATAATAACAACAACATCAACAACATCAAATCTCTGATTCTCTCTACATCATATATAAATAAATAAACAAATGTATTATATGCAAATGCATGTAATTGCCACCTACTGTCAGGGTGTATTCACACCTGTCTTGTTTGGTTCGATTGAATCGAACTCAAGTTTGTTTCCCCTCTCGGAGCGGATCTTTTGGGCAGGTGTGAATACAGCAATCGCACTCGGGTCCGCACCAAACAACCGCACTGAGACCCAGCTGAATTTGGGGAAAAAACCAACTATAAATAATAAATAAATAGGTTGAACTACTAATGGATTTGGAAGATTTTGCTGTAAAACAATACATAATAATAACAACAACATCAACAACATCAAATCTCTGATTCTCTCTACATCATATATAAATAAATAAACAAATGTATTATATGCAAATGCATGTAATTGCCACCTACTGTCAGGGTGTATTCACACCTGTCTTGTTTGGTTCGATTGAATCTAACTCAAGTTCGTTTCCCCTCTTGGAGCGGATCTTTTGGGCAGGTGTGAATACAGCAATCGCACTCGGGTCCGCACCAAACAACCGCACTGAGACCCAGCTGAAGAGGTGTCTCGGTCTGCTTCCAAACCAACTCTATACGGTCGAATGGATGAACCAATGAATGGATGACCTTAAGCACACGTGTGGTTTTGTTTACAATTGCTGGTTCACTTACAAAAAGAGCAGTGTGAAAGCGAACCGCACCAAACAACAACAAAACAATCAACATTGTATTTGGTCTGGACCAAATTCTCCAGGCTTTTCTGCTGTGAATACACCCTTAGTTTTGATTTAGGCCTGTTCACAGATAGAAAACCTTTGTATATCAGCTTCTGCACCTTTTGGCCTTGGAAGAAGAAGAAGAACAAAAAAAGGATAATACAAGTTGAACTCCTATTGCATTTGAAGCATTTTGCTGTAAATCAGGAATAAGTAAATTATTAATATTAATAATAATATTAATAATAATAATAATAATTATTATTTTTATTTATTTAGATCCTTAACAGAAAGCCTTTGTATATCAGATTCAGAACATTTTTCCTTCCTTCCAAGTAAATAAATAAATAAATAAATAAATAGGTTGGTTAAACTAATAATTAATTTGGAGCATTTGGTTGTACAACAACAACAACAACAACAACAACAATAATAATAATCTCTCTGTACTCTATATACAGTATCCACAGAATGAAATCGTTTGCATGTCAGATTCTGATTCTCTGCGTGCACAGGTGTTTTTGTCTGGTTCAGATCTTCAGATGTGTTTGGGAGTTTGAGGATGATTTTGGAGAGGAATCTGGATATTAACTCACACACACCTCTGACTGTCAGCTCACGCGAGTGTGTCTGCCTGAACATTTGTGTGTGTGTGTGTGTGTGTGTGTGTTGTGTGTGTGTTGTCTGATACAGTCATATCCTCACCCGCCCCCAACGCTTTGATTGTCTTGTACGCCGCAGCACAAATGCACCAATTAATATGCAGAGAGTGAGTGAGACGGAGACAAAAAAGAAAGACAGAAAGAAAGAAAGAAAAAAACATGCAGAGGTGGGGGGAAGAGATGGCATGGAGAACAGGAAGGAGTGAAAAAAGGGAGATGAAATGACAGATGAAGAGGAGGAAAAGAGAGCGACGTAGGGGTGGTCTGAGGGGAGATGAAACCTGATAGATGTTAGAGAGAAAGAAAGAAAGAGGGATTGAAGAAGAGAGCAGGGGACCGACGCTGAATCAATACGCACATGTTTAGTCAGAGATGGAGGGATCGATTGGTGAGGATGGAGGGAGAATGAGAGGAGAGGAGAGGGGTTAAAGGGGTGGAGTGATGTGGCATTGGCTGCTGTCTCTTTGTCGCAGTGTCAGGGTATTGATACTGTAATATCACCATGACAATAGCACCGTGGCGACGGCCATGACGACGCCCGACAGCACAATACAGCCAGCCGCAGTATACTGAGAGCAGTGAGGCAGAGCAGGCCGCAGACCGGCGCATCTGTATGTGACCATCAGAGAAGGTGCACACAGCTAGACGCATTTAAACTTGTAAATAAATGAGGTTTCAAAGGGGCAACATTGTGGAAGTGGATGAGAAACGTTAGTGTGATTTCTGGAGTTCATGTCAGCTGGCATTGAAGCAAAAAATGGAACATAAGAAAAATGCATTTTTTCAATTCAAAAATGTAATCAAATGTATTGAATTGCAAGTAAATCACATATTAGTGTTTCATGACAAAAATAAAGATAAAGACATTGCATTAGCAGGCGAGAATATCACTCGATAGAAAAGACAACGGTTGTTTTTGTGCTTTTTGTTTTGGACTTTTAGTTTGTATTTAGTTCGTGTTTCCTGTTCCCATCATCAACTGTGTTCTGTATTCTTGGTCAGGTCTTGCTTTATTGTTGGCTGTTTGGCTGATGTCTTTAGTGTTTCTCTGTATTATGTTCTTAGTTTTTAGGCACCCTTCTGTTTTCTAGTAATTCATCATCTGGACTTGAATCCAGCTCTTCCTTGTCTCTAAGTTCACTCTCGTTACAGTCTAGAAGTCAGTGTATGGAGCCTTTTCAGACTGTGACGATGCCTTTCCACAATTAACATCAGAAACATACTTATGTTTTAATTTCTAAACAAATGTATATTTATAATACCTATACTTTGTTTTTTATTACTCTGGCATTAAATGGAGAAACAAAAAAGTTAACTCTACGGCACGAGTGTTGCTATGAAAGCCTATTTCCAGCACATAAGATACAAAAGTAATGCTTATCTATTTTAATTAATCATAATACTGATATAAAAAGTTGAAATTATGAGAGTAAATAAAATGAGATATTATGAGAGGATATAAAATTCCAACTTTTTGTGTCATAATTATAATGAGATCAAATCAAAATGACGACAGTCTTAACCTTTTTCATAACAACTTGTCATTGACTTATTTCAACTTTGTCATGATTTTAACTTTTATCTCATAATTATGACTTAGCGTCTCATAATGTTGACTTTTTATCTCATTACGAGTCATCATATGACTTATTTCAACTTTTTGTCATGATTTCAACTTTAGTATCTCATAATGTTGAAATTATTACTTTAGTATCTCATAATGTTGAAATTATTACTTTAGTATCTCATAATGTTGATATTATAACTTTAGTATCTCATAATGTTGAGATTATAACTTTAGTACCTCATAATGTTGAAATTATTACTTTAGTATCTCATAATGTTGAGATTATAACTTTAGTATCTCATAATGTCGAGATTATAACTTTAGTATCTCATAATGTTGAATATTAGATTTTTTTATCTCATAATTTAAACTTTTTGCCATGATTTGAACTTTTGATCTCAATTTCAGCTTGTCTAATAACTGACTTAGTTTCTCATAATGTTGACAGTCATCATTTTTTTATCTCATGAGTCCAAATTATGTTTTATCTCATTTCAACTTTTTTGTTACTTCAACTTAGTATCTCATAATGTTGACATTTTTTTAAACTTTTTTTCTCATTATTTAGAGTCATACTTGTGGCCCTTTATCTCAAGATTTCAACTTTTTGTCATGATTTAAACTTTATAATTATGACTTAATATCTCATAATTTTGATGTGTAATTTTGAATTTTATCTCATTATGACAGTCATACGTATGACTTATCTCAATTTCAGATTGTCATGATTTATCATGATTATCTCTTGACTTAGTATCTGTTAATTTAACTTTTATTTCATAATCTCAACAATTTGTCATATGACTTTTTTCATCCAATAATTTCAGTTTTTATAATTTCAACTGTCTGTCTTTTGACATTTTTATAATTTAAGGATAACAATCTTATGTGTTGGAAATAAGCTTCCATACATTTGTAATATAGCTGCTGAGAGAGTGACAGTAAATATGTCCTCTTTGTTTCTCCGGATTGTCATAACCCATCTCTCTATACATTTCCTCTTGTTATGCTTTTATGGATGTGACAATGAAGACTGGAGTACTGGCTGCAGAAAATTCATCACACAAATAAATTACATTTGAAAATATATTAGAAGAAATTGAATATTACAGTATTTACTGTATTTTTGATCAAATAAATGCAGCCTTGGCAAGCAGAAGATACTTTTTTTTTTTCAAACTTGTAACTTTTGAATGGTA